ACACACACACACACACACACACACACACACTGTATGCAATGGTGTCAATATAATCGCCCATAAATTTAGTTTAACATGTATTCATTGTGGCTAACAAGACTTATCTTTCTAATCTGATCCAAATCTATAAAATACTTTCCTAAAAACAGACTAGATACACATCAGAATTAACCCTAAGGAGCTTGACAATTATATTACTGTCATTCCATGTGGACAGCAGTATTGCAATCATCATCTTTCAATAATTTTTTAAGAAATGCGATTTGACCTATCTTTGCCGCCATTTGTTACTATTCATAGAAATAGGTAATATTTCAGGATAAATTTCAAAAAAATTTCCCCTTTTATATATTAGATGTTGCAAATTTGTTATCACGTTAAATACGGAATGGGTACAGTCATCTGAGATTTTCAGATGCCTGGGAGAACTGGTCACCATTAATTTTAATGGAAGTTGGAAATCCATATCTCTTTGGATACTTTGGAAAATCTCAGCCTCCATGTCTACAAATGTTATTGTCTTCAAACTAGCCTTTTAAAATTTGTGATCGCTAAAGTAAAAGTAAAAGAAAGAAAAATGGTGGTAAAATACTTTTCTCTTAGTTTGGTTAATTTTATTCTCCAGTGGGTTACTTTGTGAGCTAGTCTGTAGTAAGGGGCTCTCTCTGGAACAGTCCCACAAGGAAGAGTGCAGCTTTCGAGTCATGTTCTCCTTCTTGGTCTGTTTAATGCTCCCAGGAAGCATGTCGGCCTTTCCCAACACACTGGTGTAAGCACACTGATGGGTGCAAAGGGAGACAGAGCCAAGGCTGTGCTTCCCCCAGCCATCCTGCCTACTTGTGCAAGGTATAGGAAATCAGTCTACAGAATCTGCTTCTCTTGTACACAGGAACTGGTGTATAGCACAACTGCAGAAAGGAATTGTCAGGGCTGTTCCCCCTCTGGTACTCGAAGCACAGAACCTGGGGGCCTGTAAAGACCTTACGTATCTTGCCTTTATAGGCTCTTCTTACACAAAAACTCCTCAGAGCCACAGATGCACTGTCTCTGTGAGAAAGAAAGAAAGAAAGAAAGAAAGAAAGAAAGAAAGAAAGAAAGAAAGAAAGAAAGAAAGAAAGAAAGAGCTGCTACCATTACGTGATTTCACCCTAAAAAACAGGAGGGAACACTTGAATTCCTTCCTCAGGGGTATCCCAAACTCTTTTTGCCCCAAAAGAGCTTGAAAAAAAGAAAAGAAACAAGCTGCAGTCTCTGGTAGCAAGCAAATACACAAACAGCCCCTGTTACTTTCCAGGACACAAGAATCAAATCATCACCTCAAAAACAGTGATTTTTATTAACAGACAAAACATATACTTGAAATAGCATACTTGGTTGCTAGGTGTACAGAGCAGCTAAGTAAAACAAATCAAAACACAGAGAAAATCTCTGGAAACTACTCTTAGATAGTGAATGGGGAGGGAAGGTATAGATTAACACAGAGAAGTTTAAACCAAACAACCATAATAAAGAAAAATACCCTGATCACAACTAGATACACGTTTCCCTCTACATATGATACAGGCTGATCAGTACCTAAAGGTCCAGTTCACTTCCATGTCCAATATTTTTTATAGGCATGGTAAATTCTGACCCCTGCATCTGCTCTCTCCTTTTCTTAGAAATCCCTTCAAAGGAAGAGCAGACCAGTATCTATATCCAGTTCAACTTTCAGCACTGTATCCCCATTGGTTCTTCTGGCCCCCTGCCAACACCCTTGCTAGCTACCTGAGTTTAACCTCTTAGTCACTGGGTGCTGATAAGCACTCCAGTCCATCACAGGAATAGAAGATGTGCCTTATTTCCCCTTTGTTTCTGTAGATTTGAGTATAGGATGGGCCACAAGCCGCATCTATATTAGGGCATATAATCAAATAAATAATCAAGAGGTGAATAATTGGTAACATAAAGTCCATATCCTAATTTGATTATGTATATTAAACAGCCAAGATTGTCTGGTAATGTAAATAAAAAGGAATCTGGACCTATCTCCTCTTCTGGGGATTCTCCCTACTAGGATTATAGTTTTCATTGCTGGCATATACACTACTCTCCTCTAAAAAAGCAGTGTGAGACTTGAGTAAGGGGCAGGCGGAGCAGTAACCTGAGTGCAGTTATGGAGGATCCCTTGCTCTGTCCCCAGCAATAAAAAGATGCTCGTAACCTACACTGAGACTATCGAGAATCAGGGAATCATATTGAATTTCCTTGTGGGGCACAACCTCGTGGG